TTATTCATATAAAACTAACCATTCACCTCTGCTTCTCCTTAGATGTTGCGATATTATTAATCCTCATAGTGGCCTCTCTCCTCTGTACTCAACACTCAAAAAACACTTGACATTTCGTTTTGCTTCTTCCTAAATATGCTGTCTTTTCAAACACATTTCTCTGATGGCATATTTTCCTTTATTTCCAGCTACTATTCCTTTTCATTATCTTCGCTGACTGCAAAGATTTTAAAGGTGAGGATTCGATTTTTGACTCTGCTCGCAAATACCCCTTCCGCCTCTTTCTTGATTTGTATTCGTGTTCTAAAAAGAGGTTTTTGGCGTTTTCCTCTCGGATTCCTCCTTCTCTTCATCAAAACGCTTTTTTTCAGTCACCTCACATTCGAAGAACTACGTGATGCCCAATGAATTGAGTAATAAAACCAAATTCATTCTCTTCTCAATTCAAAAAAATTTTGGCGAGCCTTGTTTCTCTTTCTATTCCATGTATATCTGTACTCAAGCGTTTGGAGGGGTCTCTCTTGTCATACTTCAGAGAAATGAAAAAGAGTCTCACATCGTTACCAGTGAACGATACTTACCGCATATAATATTCCTGTACAGTTCCAAAAAGGCAGCCTCTAATCAGCACTATCTCTTGCAGCCAGTCAGCTTAATGATGTCACCAGCCTAAATTAGAGCGCAAAAAAGTACTTTGCAAAAAAAATTAGGATTAAAAACATTAAAAGAGATGCAACCGTAGCGTGTTACTTGTAGAAATGCTACGCCAGCAGATACATTTGCAGGGCAATTTCAACATCAAGAAGCACAGCCAGTTTTATGTGTACAAAAACGATTGTTGGGGACCTTTGTAACCATCATACTATTTGTAGTACACTTCAATTTCATGTAATATTACAGTGTCCATTCTTTCCACTGTAAAGAAAATCGATTGTTCTTTTCATTTTTTTGGCTCGCTGGTTGTTGCATTTTTATTAAAATTTCTTTTTTCAGATTTTCTCTCACTGTTCTTTCTGGTCTGTTTAGCCTCTAGAGATTGTATGATGGTTATGTAGGCTTACAGACCGCAGCAGTTACCAGAATTATTGACGACAAAGTGGATACCGACAGTTTGAATAGTTCACGTATACGATAACAGTTAACCAAAAAAGACCTGAACAACTAAATCATCGAATTTGTAAAAACATTGTTTAAAAAATTGATATTTTACGGCTGAGGAAGAATGAAAGATGATATATGAGGAAATGAAGGTGTTTCTATCTTCCACCATAAAAGTCCATAAATCCGAGAGCGTTGATTGATCGCTTACAAGTGGCAAAAGGTCTTAAGGATACTTTTATATTCAGTTGCCAGTCAACTGCAGTCGCTTTTCTTGCCTCTTTATTTTTTTGTATTCAAAAAACTGTTTGAAACATTTTTGCACAAGCAGTTCTGATCATTTTCGTACAACGCTGTTGTTCTACTGTTGGCATTTTTTAGGCCATTAAAAAATTTGTTGAGTAGTTAATTAAGCAAATTAGTTTTTGGGAATGATTTTCAGAATCACTATCTAAACATTTGTGTTTGAACGCAGAATTTAGGATAATTTTTTATAAAGAATGTATTGTCCTTAGCACTGCACTGTAACTTTTTGGATGATCTGTCAAACATTCGCCATCCTTAGCATAATCATTCTGTCGTCGGCACAACAGAACTCATTTCTTTACCCTAAATTTATCTTTCTTCAATTTCTGATTATAACTGAGGAGAGGCGCAACATTCTTTATCTTCAGCACCAACAGCTGTGAATCTTCTGTTGTTGACAGCCTAGTTGTCAAGCCCTTCTGCTACTCGAATGATCGCTTCAAAGGAGAAAGGTTCGAATTGATACCCTAGCCCTCCATAAAATTTGCTTTGGAATTCGACCCTAAAATCCACACCACAGTGAACTTGGCAGAAATTTAAACGATACAGAAGGCAATAAAAAAATTGACAAAGTTAATAAAGACAAACCAATTTTTTGTTTTATACAAGACTTACCAGTGAAGCCGTAGAGCGTGAAGGAAGGCAGATAAGCCTTCCATAAGAATTAGAATGCTGACTGAAAGAATTGCAAAGATCCAAAAAATGATAAACTGTGCAATCAATCCTCCCCAACCGCCAATTGTATATGCTATGTTGAACACCATAGACCAAAGGACTTCAGACAATTCTAAATCCAGTAAGCAAATGAAACAACTTATTATCTCCTTTTTCTTTAAGTTATCTATATTCCAGTGTAAAAATGAGTACATCTTTCAATAGTTAAAGAATTGAGCAGCACTGCTGCACTAAAAGATGCAGATAAAGTTTTCACCAATTGTTTTAACCAACTTCAGGTCAATAAAAATATGTTAAAAAGTGTCACAGATATACTGTCGTTTAAAAAAAGCATACGAGCATGAGCTAAAGAAAGTGCCCAAAGTCGTAAATAAGAAGCAGTATGAGAAATGCAGCCAAGACAAAATTCGATTGTATGAATAGCTTGATAAACCAGCACATCTCCAAAATTGAACTGTAAAAATTTCAAGTATTTTTTGGAATTAAAGAAATACAAAGAATAGTCTTATTTTCAGAATAGTGAAAGTTTATGGCATTACAATTTATACCTCTTCTCCTTCACCACCACCACCATGTCCATGACCACCAACGTGTTTTCCTCGTGCAGCCTGTATTTTCAAGAGAATCGGTTTTACCAGTAACATAACGGGGATAGATATAACAGCGATAATTAGAAAGATTGTTTCCACCATACTCTATAACCAATCTGTATAATTGTGCGCAAGTGAAATTATGACGTCGCTCACCGCTTAATTACTGCTAAACGCATTCACAGTTGTTTTTAATAATTAGGTGGTTAACCTGATGCGGATACCACTGTTGCAAATAACACTGATCAAGTTCATTTCTGGGATCATTTTTATCTACAAAACCCTCTTCTCGAGACTTCATCATGAACATGTTGATTAAACCGATCAGCAGTGACGGAGCACAGTGAGACGATGGATAATACCAGCCAAAAATATACACTGGTCTTACCCAAAACATTAGCCATTTGATAATAATCTAAACAGCAAAACCTTTAGTTACACAAATAAAAAAATCGCTTAAAATTTTTTTCATTCACCTCTAAAAAACAGTCTTTTTCGCAGCTAAGTCGCACACCAATTCATTTTATCTGTCAGACGACTACATAAACTTGTTACATTTGCGTAAGATTCATCACTGTTCATTAAGAGCTAACATCTATGGCTTACCTGAATACAAAGATATACGAAAATGCAGGATAGAAACAAGACTTCTGGAATGAATATAAACAATATGTCAATCGCGGAGCGGAAGTAACTAAAAATTGTTAATATTTGATCGTTATTAAATTCTTTTTAAGCCTCAAAAAACGTAAAAAAACAGATTTTGTTTTCGATTTGTTTTGAAAAAATGTCAAAAAAACTTTTACTTTAAACTTTCAATAGAAGTAGAATAATAATGTACGTATGGTATTAATATTTTGAACATTTGATACTTACATGAAATTAAAAAGACTAAGCATTAAGCCAAAAGCCATCTGAGCAATGCCAATAATCACAGACATTTTCATTTTCAGTGGATTTAGAAAATTTAGCTTGTTGGTTGCTATGTTCCATATCGGATCAACGCCAAACGGGTAAGGTCCCTAAAAATGAAAAGATCGAGTTCATCCGTTGACTAAAACGTTGTTGTTGAAAAATGACTGACTGTCCCAGCAACATAAAAAAACTTAAAGAAAAGAAGAAGAAGAAGAAAAAAGAAACTAAAGTTTTTAAAAATACCCTACATTTATGTAGTCGAATGCTGGATGAGGCGGCATTGTCAATTCCACGTCTGTATCACTTTCATCCAGTATCGCTAACAATGTTTTGCTGCAAATTAAACGTTATGCCTTGCTAAACGTCAAACTTTTTGTATTTATAGATGCTAAAACTTAAAATTTTGATAAATTAACAAAGAATTCATAAATACACGTTATCATAAATCACTGTCATAACAAATAAATATAGCATTTACTTGTAGGGGTTACGCCAACTGCTCCCAAAAATGTTGATAGATTTTGAGTATATATCGTTGTAGACCAGTCCTGTGTATACCGAAAAGATTCCCATCAACAGTATGACATATCGCCCGCCAAAGAATGTGTTAAAAATCTGCATTAAATTTTTTTTTGACCTTTCAAACAGCTACACAAAATTTTCTGAATTTACTTTAGATTATTAAATTTTCTCTATTTTGACAGAGCACCTCTTCTCTTTTGTCTTTCTGACAGCTTAAACTAATGCACAGGAAACAAATTCTGATTGTATTTAATGCCTTATCCGCTGCTTATGCAGATAGTTAATTCCAGAAAAATAACTGGTAAACGTTACTTAACAGACAGTAATGATAAGTTGGCAACGAAAAAAATAACAAAAAAATTACCTCATCTTTAATCTTCATTGATATTAGTTTTTTTTCAAAGATCACAAACATTAGTGCAGCAAGAAACATTATAATACCGTGACCAGCATCGCCAAACATAATAGCAAATATAAATGGAAACGATATTATAGTCCATGGAGCTTAAAAATTCACTTCAGTATTTACTAAATTAGTGTTAAAGTTATTTTCTTAAACAGTGAAAAGCTTTATGCCTATAAATAATTTACTAAACCATAGGTTTAGTCAGCTGCTTGTTTAACTGCCGAATAGTCAGTACGAAAATAACCTGGGTTAATCTCTCGATATGTGGCTATACCGTAAGAATCAACAATATTTTGGAAACCACGAGTGAATTTGTTTGTTCTATGAAATGTCGGAGGTTCTTCATTTGTAGTCATCACATTAAGAACCGGAGCAATATTAGAGCCAGCATTTTTCTAAAATTTTTATACCTTGCACTGTTACTCAAAAGTTTCATGAAAACTACTGATTAATCTAAAAAAAGCGAATCATCTTACAGCTCCAAGATTTAGCTGATCTAACACTAGTGGAATATCAGTTTTCGGTATCCAACATTCTGCCACCAGACACTTCTGAGTTATATCCAAGTTAAACAGATTAAGCGTGTGGTATATCGATTTGATTTTCAAAACCTAAAAGCTTCTTTTTTTACTTTGAATTGAATAAATTATTTCATGTTTATTTCCTTTTCACCAAAGTAATCTTAAATTTGAATGCTACTCACAGCTATGTTCAAATTTTGATGGGAAACAAATCTTGTATTCAATGAATAGTAGTCTGAAACATTCAAAAAATCTATACTTTTATTGTCCAGGTTTTGTAGTTTTGTGCAGTTGCACGAAGCACTTTGTCACGATGTTCCATTGTTTTCAAGAGAACTGACTTTAGTTCCTCAGTTTGAAGTAAAACCTCTTGTTTCATAGCTCTTCGCGCGTCGGACGTTTCTGGGCACTTATATATAGATGCGCGAAAACTGAAGTGAAATACAGCAGTAATATACTTGGCAATTAATTTTTAAAGCAGTTTAATAAATAAAACCAGAAGAAAGGTTTTTTCTTTTTTAAATCTTACCCGTCGCAAATTTTTTTTGACTTTTGTTCAAGAGCTTCGCCATAGAAAAATATTATAAAAACAACTTTTCCATCATTTTCTTCCTGTAAAAAGTAAATATTTTTTAATATGATCACTGTTTTTTTTTTTTGTTATCTATTTTGTGATTGAATCCATCCATTACCAATAACTGATCATACGTATCCGGGATATCAGCAGTGCGAACAAATACGTTTCCTCTACACCAACGCCACAGCATACGCTCAAAAGCCACAGCTCTGTTACGAGCTAGCACACCAGCGATAAATCTAAAGTAGTTTCGCTTTTACTCGACTATATCATCTTCTTCAGGTTTTTAAGTCCGGTTTTACAAAAAAATAGCTAAAAAAGAATTATTCTCTGACCCTCTTAAAGAAATAATTTTTTTTTTTGCATTTAACCACTGTAATTAAACTACTTTTAGATTAACCTCATCTCGGTGCTTTCTTTTTTTTCAGTTCCAGTCAAACTCGCCACTGCACGAGTGATTGCGTTACCTAAACCACCCTCAGAAAGTGGTCCAGCAATACCTTGCTGAGCTTCTGCGATTTGTGCCCTTGCCTGTTCATGTTGACCCTACAATGTACCAAATTATCAGTGGTGAAAACCTTATAACTTAATTATCATTAGTGAAAACCTTATACATTTAGAGTAATTGAATAAAGTAATGTTGTAGTCTGGATTTTTATTACATCTTCCAAAAAATCAATTCCTCTCTTTTTTTGACTTTAAACCCTTAACAGGTGCCTGCTTTATACTATTACAGAAAAAAATCTGTGTTTAAAAGTTTTTTTGAGATAAAAAATTTCTTTACATTTAAAGTTCTTTCTCACATTTCTATTTATTCTATTTTGACTGAAAAATGTTCATTTGTTAACAGCTTAAACTCAAATCATTTGAGAAAAAAAATTTTCACAATGTCAATGAAAAAAGGGAACAAAATAAGTGATTAGACAAATACATGCATTAGTATCAAATTTTGATCATTGACTGACGCTACTAATATCTGAACAATTTGTGATAAAGATGTAGCAAAAATTCACCTACGTTGCCTTGTCACCAAGCAGTTTGCATTGGCTGTTTTGGAATTTGGAAGAAAATAAAAAAAATTTGTGAACAGTTTTTTTTTTTTTAACGAGGA